TGAATTTAAGAAGATCTCAAAAAATAAAACTAGAGGGGGGGTTGGAAAGGCACTGGCAATAGTCCTATGCAGTGCCAATTTTTTTCATGTCGGCAACTTAGTTTCAAAGTCTGAATGAAACTAAAGATCTCAAGTACATAAATTGGTGCATGCTTGTATGTGTGTACAGTATGCATATTGTATATGAATGATGTTTGCAAATCTTGCCAGCCATGGGCAACATTCTGAAAGAAGCTAGAGCCAGCACTAAAAGTAAATACATATTAATGAATTAATAAGTACAAATTGAATTAATAGGATAAGATGTCCCATTTGTAAAATTGCTGTTCATTTGCAAATATCAAGTGTTCTGTCTTTTACACTGAAACAAATACATTTGTTTCTTTTGAGCTGAAACATCAAAAAAATAAAAACAAGGAGATGAATAATGGAAAAAGTATCTACATTGAAAGGAAAAAGAAAATAGGAAACACAACTGGATGAAATAAACAAAACTGGAAAAAAAGAATTAAGTCACTTTTCCTCAATGGAAAACTTTTAAAAGAGGTGATATATGAAGTGCTTCTCTTCAAAGCTTTAAAGAATTATTTCTTTCCAAAGCTTGTATATATCAGGGTTCCAACCAATGTCCTAATTAAATAACGAGCCTCGAGCCAAGCTTCAAAAGAAATCCAGTTATTTATTAGGAGCTTCATGTCGGTACGTTCCAAATAAAGCCAACTCTGACCCCACTTAATTTACATCCTGGCTCTGACCCTGTGTCTCCCCTCCCCCCAAGGTGTGTCATCAGTCACATTCTCCAATGAAGCAGTTTCACGGGTTGTAGAGATCACTCCCCTCCAGCCACTGTGGGTAACTGGAGGTAGTCTTGACAGAGAGGTGGCTGGAATGTGCTTTTGTTTTGACAAGTGCTCCCTTGCAGCAACTGCAAAATTCGTTTTCCCATCCCCCTTGCCTATGGCAACTCGAGAGCAGGTCAGGAATGCTTTGCAAGTTGACAGTATATGCATACATATGCGTGTGGGACCAATTAATAGATACCAAACGTATCTAGATCCGTTCCAGTCGGGCTTCAGGCCTGGGTACAGCACGGAAACGGCATTGGTCGTGTTGGTAGATGATCTCTGGAGGGCTCGGGACAGGGAGTGCTCCTCTGTCCTGGTCCTGTTAGATCTCTCAGCAGCTTTTGATACCAACGACCATGGTATCATGCTGCACCGGTTGGAAGAGTTGGGGGTGGGAGGCACCGTACTACGGTGGTTCTCCTCCTTTCTCTCCGACCGGTCGCAGTCTGTGTTGACAGGGGGGCAGAGGTCGACCCCAAGTCCCTTATATGTGGGGTGCCACAAGGATCGGTCCTCTCGCCCCTTTTGTTCAACATTTATGTAAAGCCGCTGGGTGAGATCATCCGTGGTTTTAGGGTGGAGTACCATCAGTATGCTGACAACACCCAGCTGTACATCTCCAGCCCAGACCACCCCAACGATGCCCTTGAAGTGATGTCCCAGTGCCTGGAGGCCGTACGGATCTGGATGGGGAGAAACAGGCTCAGGCTCAACCCATCCAAGACCGAGTGGCTGTGGTTTCCGACGTCCCAATATAGTCAGCTGGTGCCATCGCTGACTAATGGGGGCAAATCATTGGCCCCCACGGAAAGGGCTCGCAACTTGGGTGTCCTCCTGGATTCACGGCTGTCTTTAGAAGAGCACTTGACGGCCGTGGCCGGGAGGATTTTTCATCAGTTTCGCCTGATCCGCCAGTTGTGTCCCTTTCTAGATTGGGACTCCTTACGCACGGTCACTCACACTCTTGTCACCTCCCGTCTGGACTATTGTAACACTCTACATGGGGCTCCCCTTGAGGAGCACTCGGAGGCTCCAACTGGCGCAGAGTGCAACCGCGCGGGTGGTAATGGGAGCGACGTGGCGCTCCCATGTAACACCTCTCCTGCGCGAGCTGCACTGGCTCCTGGTGGTCTTCCGAGTGCGCTTCAAGGTTTTGGTTATCACCTTTAGAGCGCTCCATGGCTTAGGACCTGGTTATTTACGGGACCGCCTGCTACCACCAATAACCCCCACCGACCAGTACGCTCCCATAGAGAGGGGCTCCTCTGGGTGCCGTCGGCCAAACAATGTCGACTGGTGGCCCCCAGGGGGAGACCCTTCTCTGTGGGGGCACCTACTATCTGGAATGAGCTCCCCCCGGAGATACGGAGGATCCCGGATCTGCGTACCTTCTGTTGCGCGCTCAAGACTTCCTTGTTTAATCAGGCTGGCCTGTCCTAAGTCTTTCCTCTTTTTAATATGGAAATTTTAAATTTGGTTTTAAAGTATTGGGGTTTTAAATTTGTTCAGCCAAATTATTTAATTCGTTTTATTCTATTCTAAATTTTGTATTTATATTGTTTTATTCTATGGCTGTTCACCACCTGAGTCCTTTGGGAGTAGGGCGGTATACAAATTCAATTAAAAAAAAAAAATTCTTGGTGATCTCTTAGGAAATGTCCCTGTATGAATATTTGAACAGCCACACAAGCCTTGCAAAGAATATACTATTTCAGTGCTTTGAAAAGTGGGGCTTTATCTGCTGTAATCTGCTTTGTGAAGCTCATCTCTCAATCACTTTGCATAGACTTGCTGTTTAAGATTTATCTTACTTCAAGCTTGCCCTTTCCAGACCAGTAAAGTAGCCCTTTCCAGACAAGTAAAGAACTTCAGACTCTTCTCCAGAACTTTCCTGCTTTGCAGCATCGATATCAGCAGGCATTTCCATTTTACCTTCTCCCTTTAGCTGTAGATTGTTTGTGGAAACAATATAGTACTTTAAATAGATGCTAATATGTTTAAAAATGATGTTCATATTGCTGTTCTTCTTTTGACCTAGTTGTGGCATTCATTTACTATGGTATAGATCAGGGATGTCAAACTCTATTTCATTGAGGGCCGCATCATGGTTGTATTCCTCTAGTGGAGGAAGGCGAGACCAGGGAGAGCACCAAACCCTTGTCCTCCAGCCTCGCTGTTCTTCTCAGGCCACATGGAGGACCCCTGGATTGCAGTGCAGGCTGTCCAGAGCCCTAGGCAGTGGAGGGCAAGCATCCAGCCTGGCCCTCCAGCTCCTAGGGCACCAGGACCCCACAGCTCAGGCCAGCCCTGCTTCCCTGAGGGGGTGTCTGGCTGCACTTATCTCCTCCTTGAGGCTGCTGCTGCTTTTCTCACTATCTTTGGCTAGGTTGCTCATGGAGTGTGCGGAAGGGCAAAGTGTGTGGGTCAGAGGGAGGCCCACTTCTTCTCCATACAAGGAGACCCAGCTTTGTAACCAAGGCATCCTTAGCAATAGGATGGGAGACCACCAGGAAAGATCAGAAGGAGGGGACAAGGGGATGGTGAAAGGGCAGCAGGACTGCTGATAGCCAAGTGCAAATCATGCTAAACCTACCTTCTTTTCTTCCTTCCTTCCTTCCTTCCTTCCTTTCTTTTCTTCTTTTTCCTTCCCTCTTCATTCTCCTTCTTTCTTCCCCTCTTTCCTCTTTTTCCCTTCCTTGCTCTTTTCCCATCTTTCCTTCTTTTCCTTGTTCTTTGTCTTTGTCTTTCCTCTTTCCCCTTTTTCTTTCTTGTCCCTTCTTGGATGCTCAAAAAGGGAAATATTTCTCCTTTTGTTTTGCTTTTAGTTTGTTTTGCTAGCCCTCTGCCAGCGCAAACATTTTCACTGGCAGATGGCTGCAGGAGGCTGTTATGGCCGAAAAGGAAGCCCGGGAGGGCCATACATGGCCCTCCTGAGCTCCGTTTTCGGTAGCAGAGGCACCATGGGCTGGTCCTTTGCTGTTTCCCGGGTGGCTCTTCAGGCCAGATCTAAGCACCCCACAGGTCAGATACAGCCTGCGGGCCTTGAGTTTGACACCCCTGACTTAGACTTATAGGCTGCTTCACAGTGCTTTACAGCCTTCTGTATGTCCCCACGAGTAACTACAATTCAGTATGGGTGCTCAGAAAATGGCAGCCACTTCTGGGATTATACCACCCAGCCCAACAAGTGTTCTTCCCTAACCTAAGCTCTGAAAATATTTGAAGGGTTGTTGCAGGATGAATGATATAGGGCGAGGAGAAGAGTGTGGGCTTGGTGGAGTGGGAAGCCAGCCTGGAGGGACCTGATAAAGACATTAGGGGGGGAAGATAGGCAGCCATTCCTATAGTCAGGTGTAAAGAAAAATGACCATGACTGTAGGCATTACAATTGTGATTTTGGGACCAGTTGTAAGTAGCTTTTAGTGGGTCCACTGTAATTTTGAATGGTTGCTAAGCAATCAGTTATAAATTGAGGACTTATCTGTATTATTTCTTGCTAATTTTGACCATCATAAAGAGAGTCAGTGGTATTTATTGATTACATAAGCATATTACTTAAGAATTGTTTTTCTTTAGATTTTGATCTTAAAATGATAGAGCTTCTTTTCAAGATTTTTTAAAAATTTCTCTGTGTTAGATTATCTCACATTTTTTTGTGAAAGTTTTGGGAAGTTTAATTCCTATATCAATAATTATTTCATACACTTAGTAAAATGTTTGAATGGAATTGTGGATGTATATTTGGGGCATTGGCTTATTGACCCAAAATAAATACTTAGATCTATAAAATTTAAGAGAATATAAATGTTACTGCATAAAACCTTAAAAATAAGAGGATTTTTTTAAAAAAGAAATGGGTAGGAACAGCTGATAAGACAAAATTCAGAACATTGTTTAACTAAAATAGTTGAAATGCAGGGGATAATTCTGTTAAACTGCATGGTATACAAAATGTTTAGATTGTTTAGAAAACATAAATTTTGCAAAATGAATGTATGGTTCCTAAAATGGGTACTTCGTTTTCAAAAGAAAGTATGAAATACCTTTACCTTTACCACTATGAACAACCTCAGGAAATTGTTGAAAAATTGTTTTCAAGCTATAGATACATATATATCATGAAAATAATAACTTTATACTTTTTCTTTGTTTCAGATTTAGACTCTTGGATTTAAAGCAATACTGTGAGAAACTATCTGAGATTGTATATAAGCATGGGGACCCCTGGCTCAGGAAGGAAAAGAACTCCAATGAAGGACAGATTTTCTGCAGAAGATGAAGCCCTAGGTCATATTGCTAGAGAGGTTGGTAAATTTGTTCAAACTTAAGTGACAGGTATAACCTGGCAATCGGTATGTTATTGCAGTATAGGTAATTATACTTACTTAGTTGAACAATTATTAAGTTAGAACTTAATGCAATATTATATTCAGAAAACATACTGTAACCTTTATCAGCATGCTTAGTAATTCAACCATAGAGATTCTTGCTCTCCTAATGATGTGATTGCAGACCGTCCATCTAGTGCAGAGTTTCAAGTGGCTGTTGTTGTATGAGTCATTTAACAAATTTGCACAGTGACATTTACTAGTTAGAGTTAAACAGAGAAAGAACTCATGGTCTTTTAATGAAATAATTGGTCCTTGTATATATATAGATGAACAACCAAATATGAGGCTAGTGTTTTACAAAGAAATGTAAAACATTTATTTTTTGTTTGTTTGTTTATCATTCATTCATTCATTCATTCATTCATTCATTCATTCATTCAATTTATTGGCTTTCCATCTTACCATAGAATAATTCTGGGAAGCTTACAATTACATCTAAACTAAAACATAAGAGATTAAGAACAAATGTTAAAACCAAAAATACATACATGGGGGGAGGGAGTGGGGGGAGGGCTGGTTTCTGTTGTTAATCAACCACCTCCATTGTGCTGTTCCTCCATTGGGCCCCAAACCAACTGGCAAAGGCTCATCTTTAGGCCCTTACAAAAAAAGAGGAGGGTTGGGGCCAATCTCACATCGGGCAAGATGTTCCAGACAACAGGTGTCAGCTTTGGAAGCCATATTAGGCCGGAAGCTCCAATGCTGTCACCCTTTCGTGTGTGGGAAAGTAGGAGGGAGGATTAAGGAGTGGGGTTGTTAGTAGACAGAATAGCATTCTTTTTTTTTGGTCTAGGTCAGGACGAAGAAGTGACTTAGACATCTGGAGAAGGAGTGGTCAGGGGGCTGGATCAAGATGGAGCAGACATTGATTGGAGCATGTGACTGACTGGGGAGAAAAGGGGATGGTTTGGGAGCTTTGACTTACTGAAGGAAAACCCGGGCTTTTCAGATTCGGGTTTTCCCGGATGTGCCAGTTTGCCTAGTCTAGTTAAGAGAACTTTGGAAAATGTTTGCTTCCGCGTCTTTACTTGGAGTTGGGGTTTTTCTGAAACACTGACATTAACCCGAATCTCTTTTAAAAACCTAACAGCACCCTGTAAGGGGGCTGTCGGGGGTGCTGAGCCCCAGCATCTACCTAAACCCCGCGTGGTGCGAAGACTCAGTGAAGAGAAAGGAGAAATCGGAGAGGGGCCCGCTGGGGAGGCGGATGCTCAAGGAATTGCCGACTCCTTCCTTTCTCCTTCTGAAGAAATGGGGCGAGCCATGGAGGCTGCAGAGGAAGCCCTTCAGCTGGGGGCTCGGCCCAAGGCATCAGATTCCTGGAAGAGTTGCCAGTCCGACCCAGCTCCAGGAGGGGAAATGAAGTCACCCCGTGAGCCAGACTGGAGGATGGGAACTGCTGTGGGATCCGGAGACTCCCGGGACTGGGACCGGCTGCACCCAATGCAAAGCCAGTCTTTAACTGGGCTCCCTGAGTGTTTTGAGTGGATGGAAGTGGGGAGTTACGCCCCCTCTTCCCAACCCCTTGAGGTGAGATGGAGCAACCTACATTCACCTTCCCTGATCCGGGACATGGAGGGGGGATTAGTAGGGCGCAGACACTCCCTTACTCGGCCAGGGGCGAAATGAGAGGATTAGCGCAACATGGCCATCCTGCAGCAATGGGGCACCAGGCACAGCCGGCATACGGAATGCAAACCCCCCCTTTTGGGGGCCCTCGCCAGCCTGCCTTCGCGCTACCTCCTGCTGAGAATATATCGGCCGGATGGGGGTTTTATCCCGGCCAGGGATGGGTCCAGTGCCAGTGGTATCCCGTGCCGTCTGTTCCAAGCTTCCAGGGATTCCCATGGCCCCCCCCTCCTATGGCCCAACAATCCTGGCACCACAGGGGGGACTAATCCAGCAGCCGGCTGGAATACCCCCCCTCCCTCCAGCACAGCAAGCAACCCAACAGCCGGGCCCCCTCCCCCAGCAGCCGACGACTTTGCCCCCCCCTCTCTCCAGCACAGCAAATCCCCCAGCAGCCAGCTGGAATGCAGCAACCAGGAGCAGTCCTTCAGCAAGTTCTATCCCAGCCAGCCACTGCCAGAGCCCCTCCAACCGCGAGGCCAACGCCACCCCGCTTCAGAGCAACCTTTGACGGGACGCCGGCCAAACTAGCTTATTTCCTCAGCAGGATCTGGGCTCATGTAGATCAGTACAGGGACGAATACGAATCAGAACGGGACTTGGTGTCGGCAATCTCAGATGGGATAAATGAGGGAGAGGATTCTGAATGGATAGCCCAGCTGCACAATGAGGGCGCTGCAGAACTGAGTGATGCCGATGGGTTTATTATACTGCTCCGTTCCCGATTTGAGGACCTAGACCGCATAAATGCGGTCCTTATCCCCCAGAGATAAGGAGAATCCAAGACCTCGGTGCCTTCTGCCGTGCCCTTAAAACCTTTTTCCAGCAAGCCGGGCTGGCCTAACACTTTTTAAAATGTTTTTAATTGTTTGTTATTGTTTATAATCATGGGGCCAAATTTATATATATCTTTTTAATTGTATTTTAATGTTTGTAGTTTATGCTTTTACTTGGCTGTTCTCAGGGAGAAGGGCGGTATACAAATTTTAAAATAAATAAATAAATAAATAAATAATAATAAATAAATAAATAAATAATAAATAAATAAATAATAAAATAAAATAAAATAAAATGAAGCAAGGTAATTGACCTATAAAAGTCTTTGCATGGGACTTTAGACGAGTTGCAGGGAATCTAGGGCATTGGCCTGACCTCATACTACTTTAAAGAGGCTATTGACCCAGAAGTCAGAAAAACCTGTGGGATCCGTGGGGTGCCTGAGCATCTCCACGACTGGTATACCATGTCTATTGCTCTAGACAGAGAAGTCCACCCCCACAGCAAAACCCCAGCAGAGCAGCCACCTCGGAGAGCGTTATCCAGAAGGCCCATTTCAAAGGCTACAAATGTCGCCCCCCCCTCAACCGGGGGGGGCGCAATTAAGTGCTATCGGTGTGGACAAACAGGACATCGAGCTTCTGAGTGCCTGGCCCCTGCCCCAGTTCCACAACAATGTCCTGCCACAGCTGCACAAGGCAGGAGGGCTCCAAGGAAAACCCCAGACACCAGCCGATTCGCCAGACAAGCCGTGGAAATTCCCCTCCCCACTGAAAAGAGCGAGGACCCTCTGGCTAAAGAAGCCCCTCCTGGTGTGGCTAGCGAAGATGAAAACCTGATGGTGAGTGCACCCATCCCCCCCTTCTCAATTAAAGTAAAACTGGTGCTGCCAGAGACAGGGAAACAAGCAGAACTGCCAGCAATAATAGCTGCACCAGATGTCTAATCGGGCTTAAAGTTGTAGAACAATTAGGGATCAGAACAACACCCTTAAAGCACCCAATTTCACCAGGTGGATGGAACGTTAATGGGGGGGGGGGGGTCCCTGCCACCCATATTACTGAACTGATTAAATTAGAGATGGGGAAACATCATGAATTTATACAATTTATAGTAACCCCAAAAATGTCAGAATCTATCATACTAGGCCTGGCTTGGCTGGACAAATGGGCCCCCACCATCAAATGGGAAGATGGATACTGAAAAATCAGAATAAGGGTTGGTCCATTACCCCTGCCCCTCCCCCCAAAGAGCAACCTACCCATAACAGCCAGTGACCAGAAACAGCAGTGGTTTGTTCAGAGGGGCCTCCAGGCGAACATCAGATTCCTAAGGTGTATGCAGACTTACCCGAAGCTTTCAATGAGGAAGAATGTAACCTCCTCCCCCCTCATCAGCCCACGGACTGTGCCATCGAATTACAACCGGGAGCCAAACCCAGAATGTCCTCCATGACACCTGCTGAAATGACTGAGTTGAGGAAGTACATTGACAACAACCTAGCCAGAGGATTCATCGAGCCTGCAAAATCCAGGATGGCCACCCCAGTACTGTTTAAAGAAAAAAAAGATGGTACATTGTGATTGTGCGTTGATTTTAGGAACATGAATGGTATTTGCATACAAAATACCTACCCCCTCCCACTGATGAAGGACTTGCTGAACTACCTATCAAAAGGCAAGATTTTCACCAAGCTAGATCTAAGAGAAGCCTACTTCCGAGTTCGCATAAAGGAGGGAGACGAATGGAAGACTGCTTTTAACTGCCCCTTGGGCAGCTTCCGATTCCGGGTGATGCCTTTTGGATTCCAAGGTGGCCCCACAGTCTTCATGTAACTGATCAACGAAATTTTGCATGAGCACCTATATCAGAGGGTTCTTTTTTATCTTGATGACATTCTTATATTCAGTGAAAGTATGGAAGAACATGTCAAATTGGTCAGACAAGTGCTGAAAAAGCTCCTAGCGGCCAAACTTTATGCAAAGTTGTCCAAATGTGAGTTCCATAAGGAGTCCTTGGACTACCTGGGATACAGGGTGTCGACTCAGGGAATCGAAATGGACCCAGGGAAGGTGAGAGCAGTGTTGGACTGGTAGCCCCCACGTACCCATAAGCAACTCCAAAGCTTCCTGGGGTTTGCAAACTTTTACAGACAATTCATCCCTTCCTTTGCTGAAGTTGCACTCCCTTTGACAGAATTGCTAAAAACTGGCCCGTCTCCCACCAAGCCAAAACCTAGCCAACCTCTAGCTTGGACAATGGACTGTCAAAAATCCTTTGAACGGTTGAAACACCTATTTGCAGTGGAGCCGATCCTACAACATCCTGACCCAAATAAGGCCTTCGTGTTCAGGCGGACGCAAATGACATGGCAGTGGCTGCTGTTGTATTGCAAAGGGATGCCCAAAGCAATCTAATGCCGTGTGCTTACGTATCGAGAAAGTTAACAGACACTGAGCGCAGATGGGCGATATGGGAGAAAGAGGCATTTGTGGTGCAATGGGCTCTCCTATCCTGGAGACACTTCCTAGAGGGGGTTAATGAGCCTTTTGAAGTGTGGACTGACCACAAGAATCTCGAGGTGCTGAAGACACGGAGGAAACTTTCTTCCAAGCAGGTTCATTGGACTCAATATTTCAAATGCTTTAATTTTAACCTGAAATACATCCCGGGGTGTAAGAACTTTTTAGCTGACGCTCTCTCCCGTAAGCCCCAGTTTGACAGCCGATGGGAAGAAATAGTTCATGCCATGATTTCAGAGACTCACCCAGCCACCCAAGCCCACACCAGACCACAAACGCACCAGAGTTCCAACCTATCCGAAGACAAGTTGACAGCGGAACTAAAAGCGGCACTCTCGACTGATTCCTGGTTCAAGGAAAACCAGGCAGACCTAACCCTAAGAGACGGATTGGCTTGGAAGGGGAGTAAACTTTACGTGTCCCACAGCCTGCGACTCCTGGTGCTAAAGAGGAGTCATGATTCTCGACTAGGGGGCCACTTTGGATTTTTAAAAACCCTCCATTTGACTAGGAGACAATTCTGGTGGCCAAAGATGAAAGGTGATGTGGAAGACTATGTGAGGAGCTGCGCCACCTGTGCCATTATGAAATCCAGACCAGGGAAGCCCCCTAGACTTCTCCAGGCTGTGGCTGAACCCACCAAACCCTGGGAGGAGATTGCAATGGACTTCATAGTTGAGTTCCCTGACAGTGGGGGTAACAGGGTTATTTGGACTGTCATTGATTTATTCTCCAAGCAAGCACACTTCACTGCCTGCAACAGACTACCCTCGGCCAAGAAGCTGGCAAAGCTGTTTGGAAACACATCTACAGGCTACATAGAGTCCCAAGGAGAATAATATTGGACCGCGGGGTCCACTTTACCGCTAAGAGAGGGTTTCTACGATCCATTGGGTCATCCTAGGGGCTTAGCTCAGCTTTTCACCCATCAACTAAGGGATTGGCTGAAAAATTGAACTCAATGGTGGAGCAATAAGTTATATGTCATTTATCAACAGGAAAACTGGGTGGATTTGCTACCGTTCGCAGAAGTGGTTTATAATAATGCGGTACACAGCAGTACTGGGGTTGACTCCTTTTCAGATAACTACAGGCATGGATTTTGTGCCGATGCCTGAGTTGCCTAGAGAGCTGCCCACTTCTATATCCCTTACGGAATGGATGATCTCATTGAAAAAGGGTTGGGAGAATACTAAGAAAGCTTTAGCGGACTCAGTGGAAAGATATAAGGCCCAGGCTGACAAATGCCGATCCCTCGAACCACCTTTCCGATTAGGCGATAAGGTGTATTTGTCAATCAAGTATCTAAGATTGAAGTTACCCAGCAAGAAGTTTGGACCCAAATTCATAGGTCCCTTCCCTATAGTGAAAGGTATCAACCCAGTGACTGTCCAGCTTAGACTCCCTCGCATATTAGGGAAAGTACACCCCGTTTTCCACAGTAGCTTATTGAGACCGACCAGAGAATCTAACCTAAAACCCTTGCCAGCTGCTCCACCCCCTCCTTTGGTTGTGTAAGGGGAGACTCACTATGAGGTGAAGAAAATCCTGGACTCTAGACTCTACAGGGGTTGCTTACATTTGGTACATTGGAAAGGTTACCCTTTGGCTGAAGCTACTTGGGTGAAGAGTTGGGATATGACTGCTGATGCTCTGGTGAAATAATTTCATGATAAATTTCTTGAGAAACCAAAAGATCCCCTGGGGTGGGGGGAGAGGGGGTTAAGGGGTCTAGTGCACGGTGTTAACCCCTTCTTTTGTATTTTGTCTGCTTATTTTTCAGGAGGTGGTTCTTTTTGCAGGGGGGGACGTCTGTCAGCTTTGGAAGCCATATTAGGCTGGAAGCTCCAATGCTGCCACCTTCTCGTGTGTGGGAAAGTAGGAGGGGGGATTAAGGAGAGGGGTGGTTAGTAGACAGAATAGCATTGTTCCTGTTGGTCAAGGTCAGGGCGATCCAGCATCTGGAGAAGGAGTGGTCAGGGCTGGATCGAGATGGAGCGGACATTGATTGGAGCATGTGACCGTCTGGGGGGAAAAGGGGATGGTTTTGGGAGCTTTGACTTACTGAAGGAAAACCCGGGCTTTTTAGATTCGGGTTTTCCCAGATGTGCCAGTTTGCCTATTCTAGTAAAGAGAACTTTGGAAAATGCTTGCTTCCGTGTCTTTACTTGGAATTGGGGTTTTTCTGGAACGCTGACAGCAAGAGCATCAGCTCTTTTCCAGTCCTCTGGTAGTTTCCTGGTGCTCCAGGATCTTTGGAAGATATAGTTCAGTGTTTCTGAGATCACATCTGCCAGTTCCTCAGAACCTTGGGGTGTAATCCATCTGGTCCCAGTAATTTAAACTCATCTAGGGTGGACAAGTGCTCACTTACCATTTTCTTGTCTATTTTAACTTGTGTTTCTAAGCTGTTTTTTATGGTCCTGATTTTGATAGGTTGGACTGTTATTTCCCTTGGTGTAAAAACTGATGCAAAAAATGAGTTAAATAGTTCTGCTTTCTGTGTATTGCTTGTCACCTTCTTGCCACTTTTTCCCACTAGTGGACCAATCGTTTCCTTGATTTTTTGCTTGTTATTTTTGACTTTTGTTGCAAGTCTCAGTTCATTTTGAGCCTTAGCTTTCCTCACTTCATCTTTTAAGGCTCAGGCTATTTGCTGATATTCTGCCTTAGTTATCTGCCTCTCTTTCCACTTTTTATACTTGTCGTTTTTGTCTTTCAATTTGAGATTTCTTCCTCTCGCCCTCCCTTTTAATATTAACTTTTTTTCTGAAATCCTAAAGTAATTGTGGAAAAGTTGATTCCTAACTGTTGATGCTAGATTTCTTAATTGCATTTGTATTTTCAATATAACAGGCAGAAGCACGCCTTGCAGCCAAACGTGCAGCCCGAGCGGAAGCAAGGGATATACGCATGAGGGAATTGGAGCGCCAACAAAAAGAAGTATGTAAATATTAATACTATCTTAAATTTATTAGAATATACAAATAATAGACTTCCTTTTTCTTGTAAAACCACGTAGAAAGCTTTTAAAAGAAAATATTATTAGATATTCCTCAACCTAAGGATATAATGGAGCCTATCTTTGCAAATGGGAATGGTTATTAAGTGAGACAACCTCACTTGTCATCCCCCATCATTTAATCTCCCTGATGCCTTTGTTAAACAAACATATGGATCGTTGTGGCATGTCTCATGACTATGGGAAGCCCTGGGAGGCCTGTCACTCACCTGGGCCAATAAACAAGGCAGACAAGCAGCAAAAAGTTTTGCATAGCCCAAAACAGGCAATTGGGGAAAAGATCCCAATTAGATTAGGGCCCAGTATCAAGTTACAGTGCTAGAGAGGCTTCTAAACAAGCCTGTGGTGTGGCTGACAAAGCACACTGTTCGATTGGGCCTATGTCTTGATCAACTGGCCATTGGGAGACTGCAAACAGCCAGCTGCAGCAAAAGCTGGGTCCCAAAAGGGAGTCAGACAAGCAGCAAAAAGCTTTCCAAAGATTTCCGATTTTTTGCTGTTTGTCTGATTTCCTTTAGGACCTAGCTAGGATTATTCTAAAGGGAGTCAGATAAACAGTAAAAAGTTTTGCCAAGAACCCAGTTTTTGCTATGACTGGCCATTTGCTACATGTGTTGTGCTGTAGCTGGCTGAAGTTTTTGAGCTAAACTTTTTCTTCAGCTCCTCAATGCAAACAAGCTGCAAAAAGATTTTCTTTGCTTGCTTGCTTCCTTTCTTCTACTCTTCAACCTGGCGGTCACTCATCAAAGTAAGTAATTTACAGATTTTGTCACCATGTTTTCAGGCATTCGGAAAATTTAGCAAATGGGGTGATTAAAAGAATTAGACTAGAAGGGAAATGACAGTACCTAATTTAAGTACCTAATGGTGGGGTGGGAGAGAAAGAATAACAAGTCCCCCCAACTTTTTTTCTGTTTTCTTTATTGAACATAGAGAGGGGGTTCAGAGGGTTAAGCAAGAAAAAGGGTTTGCGAAGTTCCTTTTGAAGCTGCCGCTTTTGTGTGTGGGCAGCTGGCTTAAAGTCTAGTAAGTGGTAGGAGTGGTCTGCAATCTCCTGACAGCCAGCTGATCAGGGCAGAAAGCTATGAAAGCAGCTGCCATTTTTGCAAGGAATTGTTGGCATGCTGAAAATAGCAGCTGTTTTCAGGAGGCATGGAGAACAGGTCCAAGTGTTGTGGGGTCCCACTGGGGTTGAATGGGAGGGGGAGAGAAGCAGGAGGGTGCTGCAGCATCCTTTTGGTCAGAAGTAAGGGTGAAAGCGTTGGTGGATGATCTCTGGAGGCCTCGGGACAGGGGTTGCTCCTCTGTCCTAGTCCTATTAGATCTCTCAGCGGCTTTTGATACCATCGACCATGGTATCATGCTGCAGCGGTTGAGGGGGTTAGGAATAGGGGGCACCGTTCTGCGGTGGTTCTCCTCCTTCCTCTCCGACCACTCGTAGTTTGAGTTGGCAGGGGGGCAGAGGTCGACCTCGAGGCGTCTCACATGGGGAGTGCCGCAAGGGTCAGTCCTCTTGCCCCTCCTGTTCAACATTTATGTGAAGCCGCTGGGCGAGATCATCCGTGGTTTTGGGGTGAAGTGTCATCTGTACGCTGATGATACTCAGCTGTACATCTCCACCCCAGACCACCCCAACAATGCCCTTGATGTGATGTCTCCCTGCCTGGAGGCCGTGCGGGTCTGGATGGGGAGGAACAGGCTCAGACTCAACCCCTCCAAGACCGAGTGTCTGTGGCTTCCAGCGCCCCGATATAGTCAGCAGGTGCCATCGCTGACTATTGGGGGTGAATCTTTGCCCCCCACAGAGAGGGCTCGCAATCTGGGTGTCCTCCTGGACGCACGGCTGTCTTTAGAAGAGCATATGACGGCCGTGGCCAGGGGGGCCTTTTATCAGGTCCGCCTGATTTGCCAGTTGCAGCCCTTTCTGGACTGGGACGCCCTGCACACGCTCACTCACGCCCTTGTTACCTCCCGGTTGGACTATTGTAATGCTCTCTACATGAGGATCCCCTTGAAGAGCACTCAGAGGCTCCAACTGGTCCAGAATGCGGCCGCGTGAGTGGTTTGGGCGCAACTCGTTGTGCCCACGTGACACCCCTCCTGCGCGAGCTGCACTGGCTCCCAGTGGTCTTCCGGGTGCGATTCAAGGTGTTGGTTACCACCTTTAAAGCGCTCCATGGCATATGACCCGGGTACCTTCGAGACCATCTTCTGCCACCAATAGCCTCCCACCGGCCAGTCCGCTCCCACAGAGAGGGTTTCCTCAGGGTGCCATCGGCCAAGTTATGTCAGCTGGCGACACCCAGGGGGAGGGCCTTCTCTGTGGGAGCCCCAGCCCTGTGGAATGAACTGTCCCCGGAAATACGTAAGATCTCCGACCTCCGGGTGTTTCGCTGCGCACTGAAGACCCTGTTGTTCCACCAGGCCGGGCTATCAACATAATAATTTTAAATTGGGGTATTTTAAATTTCTGGGGTTTTAAATTGAGCCAAATCTATTTAATCATTTTAAATTTTTAATCGTTGTTTTGTCCTGTGTTTTTAAATAGACTGTACACCGCCCTGAGTCCTTCGGGAGAAGGGCAGTATAGAAATATTATTATTATTATTATTATTATTATTATTATTATTATTATTATTATTATTATTATTATTATTATTATTATTATTATTATTATTATTATTATTATTATTAATAATAATAATAATAATAATAATCATGGAGTCGCTATAGTAGCCATAACTTCAGAACAAGTTCATATGTAGCTTTTGGGGGGCATGTTGTAATTCAAATGGCCATTAAGTGATCAGTCGTATCTCAAGAACTATCTGTATAGATATATTTATAGCATAATGAATATGTTACTCTGTAGCAGAGATGTTCAGTGTTTTCAGTGTATGTTATATAAGGTGCCATATATATTAGTAGGTGAATGCCTGTTTGTGAATAGACATGCATGGCAACTCCGTTGTGTGGTAGAAAAGGACAAAGAAGATGTTTGTAGTACAATAATTCTAAGTTACTATAACAGTCATAAAATTGCAATACTACAGAAGGAAACACTTTGTGCTGGAGAAATCAAGCGAAACAAAAACAGTCTGTGCAAGTAGTTGCTGGGAATCATGCAGCATATGAGTTGCCCCTCATGATTTAGAATAACATTTCCATATTATAAAAATAATTTATTCTATTTTGTGCAATATGTATTCAGAATCTGGGATAATACATGAGGATTTATATATAAATACAAATACATATATATATAAATATAAATAATTTATGGTAGTTTTAACAATGATTTCATCATTACTAATGTATTGGTATTGGAACTTCTGGTCAGTTTTGTCCTTGCAGAATTGCAGTATTGAATTTAAATAACCTTTAAATTGCTAGTGGAATTCTACTTTTCTAGACAGTATTGCAAAATAACCTGTATTTTGTAAGCAGAATTATGAAAGATGGCATTTATTGTTACTAAAGTATTATCCTTTAAAAATCAGGTTTTCTACCTTTTTGTAGCTTTCTCAGCGTTCTTATGATAGAAAATGGGGACATATCCAGAGGTGGATGGTAGGCCAGGATTGCGTGTTTTGTGGTGCTTTTATCTTGGAAAACTAATCTGATTGTAGTGTTTATTTCCTAATATTTTAGTATATGAAATTTCATAAAAAAATAATGTGTCATGGTGAAAACTTTTAAAATGTATAAATATGCTTACATGAGAAATACATAAAACGAAGATTAATACAAATATGAGTATAGAAGAATCATCATAATTTGCCTAAATTTCCTGTTTAAATCTTAGAATTTTAAGGGCATATACCAGAGAAATGCATTGCCAAAATAATTATTTAGGGTTGTTGGATCATGTCCAATATTATATATATCATTTCAGTATGGGATAAATGGAGGAAATAATTTTACATTACCACACATCTGTCTTGTGTAAACTTAATTAAGACAAAATAAGCCTGATTTTCTGTGGCTACTCTTTATTTAGATAACATTTTGAAACATTACAGCAATTTCTCAGTATTATATATGTTAAATTATGTTGTATGTTAATTGAGCTTTCTAAGATATGAAAAACTCTGATACAAAGACTATAGTAAGTGGACACAACATCAAATGACCCAAATTAAGACATATTTTATGTGACCTAATAAATGGATCAGTGTGATTCCTTAACATAAGGTCATATATGAGTAATTATGTCATATGTTATAGATCCCTTTCACCTATATCCTTTGTAATTTCACGCTGAATTTTAATGATAAATGTACTTAATTTTTATCATCTTTTATTTTCATTTTTATGTTCAAAAGTAATACTCCTCAGAAGAGGAGTCACACATAGGTAGAATAAATATTCTAAATGATAAAGTATCTGATATTATAATTAATATACCATAAGATTATATTGGATATATTGTTTATGATGTAAATGATAATGGACTTCTAGTACTATTTTGTTTTTAGTTTTCTAATTTTATTGTGTCACAATTCTAACATAACTCTATTTTTCAGCCATCAGAATATATGTAAGAGTATTTTCTGACCATTTATATAGCAAGTACATGAGACAGCTGTAATCAGGGATAGGCAGATTGCAGCCTTCTGAGTCTATTGTGGTTATGATGACTGAAAAATGAAAACTTCTTAGTATTCTAAGTGGGAAACACATGTATAAGGTCTGAAATATTTCAGTTAAAAAAGAAACAACTCTCCCTTAGGTCATCTTAAAATCTACTTCTCCTATAGCAATGATGGCTAACCTTTTCCGGCCTGAGTGCTGAAAGTGTGCTTGAGAATATCTGCATGTACCCCCAAACCCCCAAAATGTAATGCATGCGTGCCCCCGCAGTGCTACACTCCCTGCATGCGTGTGAGACCTTGCAAGTGCCACTCCCTCCCCACATGCGCCTGAGGCCCCCCACACGCACCACACTTCCACACATGCGTGTGCACCCCCACACACGCACCACACTTCTGCATGCATGCACAGCCCCCCGCATGCGCCCTGCTCCGATGCATGCGCAGCAGAGACTTGGCGACCAGCTGGCCAGCTGTAGGCACGTGCATATGTCTGGTGGAATTGAACTGGGGCAATGGCTCGCATGCCCACGGAGATAAAGTAATGTAAACTGAAGCCTGTAATCCACATTTGTATGAAAACTATTTTCCATCATTTTAGTAATCTCTAAAATCTCTCATTTTAAAATATTTTCTTAGGAAAATTCTGAGAAGACTAGCCATTCATGTCAGTCCAGGTGGCAGCCAGACCTGGTTTGTACTAAAGCTAGATTTATTTTAAGCATAAATTCAGTCTTTATCTGTTTTTGATTTTCCTTTTTATGAAAGTTGCTTTATTATTATTATTATTTTTATTAGGGAGTTGGTGATTTGGTATCCTCTCAAAACATTGGTAGTCACAGGGTTAGTATTTAAAATTATTTCAATAAAAGTAATGTGGTGGTTTTTTTTTTACTAATATAGTTTAGAATTTGAGTATGCTATGAGATTATTGATATATTTGTATGCTAATTATTATGCAACACAGAATTGAATATAGAATGAAATTTTTGATCATTTCAAAGATAATTCTTTAAATAGAAGAATATAATTTCTTAGAATAAATGTTAATTTTTTTTAAGGACTTGTGGATTGAAATACATGATGTTATTTCTTGGTTAAGCTTAATATCTTCTGAATTCAAGATTTTGTCAGCATAGTAATTATCTTGCATGGTTTTTAAATCTGCATGGGTTATCTACTGAGCTGCAGTTTGAAGTGGAGGTGGAAAAACATTGCTTAAAGTTAGTTTTAGTTAACATTAATGTTCTGTAGTTAAAGGATATCAAAGAAATTAAGAGGAGAAGGGGATAAGTTAATGAAGTATTCTCATTTTTAATAATAAAAATATGAATTATTATAACTACACGGGGGCCGTTGCACTGTAATTCACATTTTACATTAAACATAATGTTATATGTTTGGTTTTGACTTAGAATATTGTATGAACTGATCATTGTGGCTTGTCAACTATAGCTTACAATTTAATATGTTTGAACCAATTACATTAATCAACAATCATGGGTATTCATACCATGGTTTGGCTGAATGTGCAAACTAGAGCTATGCTTAAAAAGAGGTGCTTTGCAAAATATATTAACATGAATAAAGTATCTGTATGCCTGTGAAAATACACTCTTCTGGGGCTTTATATACCCACAGAGACAGTACTGATATTCTGGAATACTTTTCAATACAACTGCAAAAGTTTTCACAAGGATCTATCTATGCAGAAAGGGTTCTTTACTTTAACATGCTTTGCAAATTACCTCTTTTAAATGCTTTGCATAGCCAAACTTAATAGTGAATTTGTGATCCTTTAATAAGAAAAGAAAAAACACTCTGGTCAAAAGGGTTCTCCATGAAAATATTCTATGAATTGGAAAGTGAATTGTAATTTTTAATTAAGAGTTTTTGGATAAATTAAAATAATATATTGCAGTGTGGATTTGATTTAAATCAAGTCGATTTAAATCACTATTTAAATCATGATTTAAATCATTAATAAAAAGGCTTGATTTAAATCAACTTGATTTAAATCATAATTTTTAAAGAGCAACTGTCATATCTGTCCTGCAGCAGCTCCTTCTTCTATTGACCTTCTGTTGACTCACCAACAGTCCCAATATTGCAGAATATTCAGCCTCATGCTATATAACTAAGCTCCATTTCATGCTGAATAAACTAAATTATTAATGTATCTTAAATAGAAAACTATCTTTAGATAGATTTTTACTCCAAAATCATTTTATTAAAATAAATTTGATAAAAAAAATTCCGATTTAAATAAAAAAATCCAATTTAAATTTAAAAAATCTGATTTTTAATTTTTTAAAAAAAAAATCATCAATTTTTATCCACCCTGGTATATTGTTTGTAGTAGGTGACAGAGGCAGTAATTCTGTATTCATTTTCTTATAATTAATTCCTTTTGAATATTGAAAGCTTCATTCTCAATAGATAAGTTTTCCAGATGTTGGAGTGCCTTATAATGGATTATGCTGTGAAGGGCTAGTGAGAATAGAAATTTTAAAAAAAGAAACTTTTCTGTATAAGATATAAAAGTGTATCCAAGGTATATTAATTTAAAGCAAGTTAGTTTTGATAATAACTCCTATAGGCAGGAAGATGGGGAACTTACTAGTAGTTGTAGCTGTCAAAAGCAAACACTGGAAACATCAAGATGTAAGGAATTTGATTATCTATATTCACATGTGGCTCTTAAACTCTCAGATACATGCTTTTAAAACAAAAAAACAAACCTGTTATTCAATTAAATCATTTCATAATTTCCAGCTAAAGGGATAAGGAGCTGCATATGTTCTCTACATTTACTCTACTCAGCAAATTAAGATATTATTCTTAGTTTCCTTTCATCCCACCTTGCATTTCACTTCTCTGGTCAGTCAGCTGGTTCAAATCCAGGCCACATTGAAAGTTTAGGAAATTTGTACAAGTCTAAATAGAGAAATCCAACAGCCGTTCTTCCTATTGTCCTTAGCTTCCGTTTGTCATCAGTTCTGTCTATCATCACAATCATCCTTCTATTGCAGCCACCCTTTCATCAGGGGAGTTTTTAAGTTAGCAGAATTTAAGTCTGAAAATACTCTTTCTCAGCTGATGAGCTTGTTTCAAGGAGCTAGGTATTTTCCTTTCACCACATAAACATTGAAGTAAACATTAATCTTATAATATTAATTTGTTTAAACTTCCAAAGAAAAGATTAATCTAGAAATGCATTGTGTTGGTGAATATGATGGGAATTAAAATGATGGGAATTGAAATCATGAGCATAACGTGTTAGGTTAATATAAAACTGCTATAAAAGTTTGTTTAGAACTAAAAGGAGTAAAATTTACCAGAATCATTTTGTTCTGTAATGATATCAATTTTTGAGGTTCATAATTTTTCATAACTTTGTTCTAAAGAGCCTTTCCTTGGATGTCAGTGGGTCCCACAGGAATAGACCAAGTAACTCCAGGAAAAGAGATCTAATGGTTTGTATTCCAGATCAGCATGATGTGATTTGATCATATAACATTTGTTATGCACTAATAATAATGATATATTTTAATAAAATTTTCATTGTGTGAACTGTGTGCACATGAGAGAGATAAAAACAATTTAAAATTATTGACTTTAAAACCAGTGGTTATTGCATGAGATACAGAGGTATTGATTAATCTAATTAAGTCAGTAAAAAAAGTGAGATGGAAATAGACATGAATTACATTTTTGTAATTATACAATTACAATTATACAACATTATACAATGTTGTCTTTGAAATATTATTGTCCATAAAATATCTGTAAAGTTGAATTATGTGCATATAATGTAAACTAAACATATGAAAATAAGTATTTGTATCTCTTTACCTACTTTGACTATTTCTAACAGATTGTAGGTGGTGACATCTCCTTCCTCAATCCTCCCTGCATTTGTGCGCATGTTCATGTGCAAACACACGCATACAGAGACATGCATCCCATACATTCTCTTCTGGCCTTGCTTCCCTTGCACAAATGTAAGCGCTCTGCATCTTCTTTCCCTGCCTTTCTGCAGCCAGACACATGTATATGCCCCATGCCCTTATTCCCGGGCCTCCAAGCATGCACACACAGACACAGACACAGACACAGACACACACACACACACTGCATCCCATGCTGTCCTTTGTGGGTCTCCTTGCACTTACAACCAGTCTATGCTCTCTTTTCCAGCCTTTCTGCACTCCATACACACATTTACCCATCAGCACCTTCCTACCTGAACACATAACACAGGCATGCACCATGGTTCCTCTTTCCCAAGCTTCCCTGTAATTGCATATACACACCCTACATACTCTTTTCCCACCTCCTTGGGCTGGCACAGGGATGCATCCCACACTCTCTTTCTGTCCTTCCCAGCACTCATACCCCAGCATCCTTCTTTCAGGCCTTTCTATGCTTGCATGAACTCCACACACTGCATCTCTTAACCCCATTACCACCTTCCTGGCCTCTCTCACCTTCCTGTAGCATTCTTGCACTTTTTCCCTGAGAGTTCCTCTGTTTCTTGCTTATATGTAATTTAAATTACAATAACACATTACAATGAACAGAAAAATTAAATTTCTAAATTACTTTGAAATATTTCAGAGTCATTCAGTCAGAATTGTTTCTTCAAAGCAGATCACCATTTCAGTTCATAAATCTGCATCAAAGAGTAATTTAATCAAGCTTTGTCAAATTGAAACAAAATTCAGATCTTCACAGAGCCCTAGAAAATCACCCAACACTTTTGTTCAGTTTTTAAAATCTTGATGTTAGCACTGCTTTCATCTGTGTTTGCTCTTCTGTGCAAATACATAATAAGTATATAACTCTTAAACAATATCTTCTGTTTTATAACACCTGGTCAAGGCAGTTGGTATTTCTGGAAGAAAAAGAATGATGCAGTTATTTTGTACATCGGGAATCACAAGTGTACTAGTAAACCTATCTTGATGAGAAAGTTTACATTTGACAGACTTCTAGCTAGACTTATACATATTCTCTTCCTTCGGATATATCTTCCCTACTTTGATGAGGATGCAGTTTTTTTGCTATGAGAAATTATAAAGTTCTGACTAGAATTGTTGTATTTCTGGATTAACTACCTTATGTTGTACATCCAATATGAAATTGTAGATGTATATTTTAATAGAATTCATTGCCAAATATAATGTGGGTTGGCAAGCTTTTCTGTATATTTATTTATTTATTGAATTTATATTGCTGCCTATTCGCCCATGGCGACTTAAGGCAGCTTACAGAATATAAAACTACATTTAAAACAATAAAAACTAACAAAATAATCAAATAAATTAATATAGTACAATATAACAAAATCACCCCCCACCTCCCACCTCCCCACCCCGGCGACAGCAGATTACACGAGCCATTTAATGGGCTCCATCCCGCTCTGGGTTCCCCAGGCCCGCTGGCAGAACCAGGTCTTCAGTGCCTTCTGGAAGAATATTAGAGTGGGGGCCATCCTAATCTCTGGGGGAATGATGTTCCAGAGAGAAGGAGCCACCATGGAGACGGCCCTTCTTCTGGGTTCCACCAGGTATATCTCCCTCGGGAATGGTTCCACCAGGTATATCTCCCTCGGGAATATCTCCCTCCCTGGGTTCCACCAGGTATATCTCCCTCAGGAATTCCACCAGGTATATCTCCCTGCCTCCTCACTCTGATGGGTCAGGTAGATGTGATTGGCAAGAGATGGTCCCTCAGATAACCTGGACCCATTTTATATGTTTTGTGTATATCTTCAAAACCAGTTGTACCAAGATTTTTCTAGGTATCATGAATTATCTTGATAAGCATCTATAGTTTCTGAAAACTTGCAATTTTAAATGTCACTATTAAATATTTGTCAGTATATTATTATTATTATTATTATTATTATTATTATTATTATTATTATTACTATTACTATTACTATTACTATTACTACTATTATTATTACATATTGCCCAAAGGAAAAAAAATACAACAATTCATTATGTTAATTGATTTGATCTTAATTGATTTTGCTTATAAATATTTTTTCAGATGGTCATGTTATAATTTAAAATTCTTTATATGGCTAATACTTACGTTGATAATTATTTATGTGGATGATAATTACAGAATGTTCATAATTGTAACTTTTATAATTTTTACAGAGCCATATTTACAGTGATTCTTATGGTGGGAAGAAGTTTTCTAGCTCTTGTAAAGATCTGTTGGTTAGTGTTCTCAATTGGGATTTGTTACAATATCTCTTAATATTTTTTACATAATGTATCCTATGTGTACTTTATTGTTTTTAACTTATCTCAGTGAAGGATACAATTAATTTAAAAAACTGGAATAATCTGTAAGTCATCATATAACCTAGGGCTGGGCAGTTTGGAACCAAAAAGGAAAAGAGTTGAATCAATGTAAACATGGCACCTAAAGAGACTACATAGAACTTATAGAAATATTAATAAATATGTATGATGCTAATGATATTGTCAACTCATAAAGCATTCCAGGCCTGCCTCTGGTTGCCATTAATTAGGGCATCTTTCGGAAACCTCACAGATACCATGCTGAATCCTGACCTAAAGCTTTTTAGAAGCCAGGCAGTTCCTATAAAATTAATGTACCTTTAAAGTTAGTGTTTTTCTCTTTCTCTAAAACCCATATTGGGTTGTAGCTACAACTTTAATTGTATTCAAAGATAAATGAATTGTACTAGATAGATGGGAAATTCCAGGACGTAAATTATTGGTCATAACTATTTAACCAGCCCAAGTGGGTGAAGCATATACCATGTTTCCCAGAAAATAAGACATAAGACATCCCCTGATATTAAGCCCAATCAGGCTTTTCAGCGCATGCGCTAAAATAAGCCCCCCTGAAAATACCCCCCCAAACTACTTAAATGGATGCGCAGCCGATCCCTGCCATTTTCTCTGGTTGCTTGCTGCGCAAACAACACAAGATGAGGAGGCAAGGCCAGAGGGATGGGAAAGGGAGGGGGGAATGCACCCCACATGCCTTTACCTAATGGCCGCTCCCACAATCCTAGCCACTGCACCTCTTCTGTCACACTGATGGCCACCACAAAAAGAGCGGTAGGCCCACTGATGTGCTTTGTGCCCCACTCCTTACCTACCACTGCCTCTGGCAAAAATGAGAGAGAGGGAGAAGAAAAAGAGAGAGAAACAGAAATGTGAGGGAGGGAGAGAGACAGAAAGGAACAAAAAGAAAGAAAAGAAAGAAAAGAGAGGGAGAGGAAAAAGAAACAAATGAGAGGGAGAAGGGGGAGAGAAGAGAAAGAAAGAGAGAGGGAGATGGAGAGGAAAAAGAGAAACAGAAATGGGAGGGAGGGAGAGAGGAAGGAAAGGAAAGAAAGAAAGAGGAAAGAGAAAGAAAGAAAAAAGGAAGGGAGGGAGGGAGAGGAAAAAGAGAGAGAAACAAATGAGAGGGAGGGAGGGAGGGAGGGAGGGAGGGAGGGAAAGAGAGACCAATTTCCCACACACAGGGAAACCTCAATGCCAAATTCCCCCCTCCCAGGGTTTTGGATTAATGGATTTAATAATCTAAAATGACTTTTATTTTGACCCCCAGACAAGATGAGTTCAAAAAGAAAGAGCTACTCTGTGGAATTTAAGAAAGTAATCATGAAGGATTCTCAGGGCAAGAATCTGGCAGCTTTCTGCAAAGAGAAGATGTTGGATCTCCGTATGTCCCGAAAATGGAAAGTAGAGTACACTAATCTCAGTCAACAGGTACAGAAGGGAAATGGTAAGAAGCGCAAGTATGGATTAGGTCGGCAACCATTATTTCCTGAACTTGAAGACAGCATCTCTGAATGGATCACTGACAGGAGAGGAAAGGTTTGGTTGTACGCAGGGCTGATATTCAAGCATTTGCCCTTGCAATGGCACCACAGTTGGAAATTACCCGGAACAATTCAAAGTGTCTCAACACTGGCATGATAGCTTCCTTCAGTGACATGAACTGTCTCTGAGGCGATCCGCCTCGCTGTTCAAGCTGGAAGATGCCGAACCTGTGAAATGTGCACTTGCATTCAAGTTGTTTGTTGATGGCATTGACTTTTCCAAATACCAGCTCTACAACATGATCACCATGGATGAAACTGCAGTGTTTATAAGCCAAGAAGCTCAAACAACAATTGATCAGAGGGGCGCCACATTGATTTATATTCCCTCAACGGGATATGAAAGCGCATGTGTGATGTGCATATTGGCTATTCAGCTGGATGGAACCAAAGTCACACTGCTAATAATGAGCAAGGGCAAGAAGGAAAAAATTGAAAGGATTTCAGGGATTTACGTCCTTGAAACTGAAAAGGCCTGGTGCACCCAATGAGCTATCAGGAAGTGGGTGGAGCTAATGCTCCCACTTATTGTGCGAGGTGGCCAAAGAGGCATGGTAGTCTGGGATTCAGCCAGCACTCACTGTACCAAGGACATGAAAAAGTTTCTTGCCCAGCACAGGATTGATCAAATTATGATACCTGCAGGAATGACTGGCTATCTCCAGACACTGGACATCACTATTAACAAGCCGTTCAAGGACAATCTCCACATCCAAATAAATGAATACATTGAACACAGAATGGTAAGAAACCAGCGAGGGAATTTTGTGAAGCCTGGCCTGCCAGAGCTTGTGAATTGGATCAAGAATGCGTGGGACCAAATAAGTGACACCTGTGTTGTCCATGCAATACAAGCAGGCTACATGGACAGGAGGTACTCTTTTAAGGAGACTGCTATCGCTAAGCAAGAGCGATTGGGACCAATAGTTTTGAACAAAATGGACTCACAGACTGGAATTCAGGATGTGGACAGATTTGACGATGTTATAGAAGATGATGACATGACTATACTGGAATAAATTGTTGAATTTGACTAAATTGTTGAGTTTGACTAAATTGTTGAATTTGAATAACTTGTTGAGTTTGAATAAATTGTTGAATTTGAAAAAAATGGTGAATTTGAAAAAATTGATTGTTGTACCATACATGAGCATTGTAGTTTGTAGTTACATTGTAGCATTTGTAGTTACTGCAATGCTCTCTACATGGGGCTCCCCTTGAAAAGCACCCGGAGGTTCCAACTGGTCCAGAATGCAGCCGCGCGGGTGATTATGGGCGCAACTCGTGCCCACGTGACACCCCTCCTGCGCGAGCTACACTGGCTCCCAGTGGTCTTCCGGGTGCGATTCAAGGTGTTGGTTACTACCTTTAAAGCGCTCCATGGCATTGGACCTGGATACCTTCGAGACCGTCTTCTGCCACCAGTAGCCTCCCACCGGCCAGTTCGCTCTCACAGAGAGGGTCTCCTTAGGGTGCCATCAGCCAAATTATGTCGGCTGGCGACACCCAGGGGGAGGGCCTTCTCTGTGGGAGCCCCTGCCCTTTGGAATGAACTGCCCCCAGAAATTCGTAAAATCTCTGATCTCCGTGTATTTCGCTGTGCCCTCAAAACCATGTTGTTCCGCCAGGCTGGGCTATCAATGTAAAGATTTTAATTGGTTTTAAATGGGATTTTAAATTTGGGGTTTTATAAATTGGGCCTATTATTTAATAATTTTAATTATTTTTAAATTTTGTCTGTCTTTGTGTTTTTAAATAGGCTGTACACCGCCCTGAGTCCTTCGGGAGAAGGGCGGTATAGAAAATAAATAAATAATAAATAAATAATAAATAAATAAATAAATAATAAATAAATAAATAAATAGATAAATAAATAGATAGATAGATAGATAGATAGATAGATAGATAGATAGATAGATAGATAGATAGTTTCCCTGTGTGTGAGAAATGGCTCTCTTTCCCTCCCTCCATCCCACCCTCTCATTTCTGTTTATTCCAACAGACTTTTTTATTCCAACAGGCTGGCCTGGCCTAACTTCCTTTTAATTGTTAATTTTAATTGGTTTTTTTTTTTAAAAAAAACAGGTGTTTTAATCAGTATGGGCCAAATTTATTTAATGTGCTTTAAATTGTTTTTTTAAATTTTATATTATATGTGTTTTATCTTTGGCTGTTCACCGCCCTGAGTCCTTTGGGAGTAGGGCGGTATATAAATCCAAACTAAACTAAACTAAACTAAACTAAAACTGTTTTTCTCTTTTTCCTCTCTCTTTCTCTCTTTTCTTTTCTTTCCTTTCTCTCTCCCCATTCTCTCTCTCATTTCTGTTTCTCTCTTTCCCTCTCTTTTCTTTTTTCTTTTATTTCTTTCTCTTTTCTTTCTCTCTCACCATTCGCTCTCATTTCTGTTTCTCTTTTTCCTCTCCCTCTCTCTTCTTTTCTTTCTCTCTCTCCCTATTCCCCATCTCATTTCTGTTTCTTTCTTTTCTTCTCCCTCTCCCTCCCTCTTTCTTTTCTTTCCTTACTCCCCATTCTCATTTATGTTTCTCTCTTTTTTCCCCTCTCTTTTCCCTCTCTTTTCTTTCTTTTCTCTCTCCCCATCCTCTCTCTCATTTCTGTTTCTCTCTCTTTTTCCTCTCCCTTCCTCTCTTTCCTTTCTCTCTCCCCATTCTCCCTCTCTTTTGTTTTGACTCTAACAAAGACTCATCTCTTTGCGCTGTGCCGCAATCCAGCAACTGGGGCAACCAAAGGTGGGAATCTCCCCAGCATTCCTGGTGCTTGCCCGCCTCCCATCCATCCATCCCCTTTGCCTGCAAACTCCTGCCCTGCTCCCGCCTCTTTGTCAGGCGACCGCCAGCAGCCCCAGATGCCACATTGCCACCCAGCAACCGGGGCAACCAAAGGTGGGAATCTTCCATGCGTCTTGCTTCTCCCCTGTCTCACCTGCTACCCCTGTTGATAAAGAGCCAGGAGCTGTGGAAAAGGGAGCCAGATGGGTGCAGGCTTTGGGCCCATGCCGAAGATTCCCACCTTTGGTTGCCCTGGTTGGTGGGTGGCGCAGCGTCTGGGGTTGCCGAGGGTTACCCGACAGAGAGGCGGGAGCGGGGCGGGAGTTTCCAGGTGAGGGGGATGGATGGGAGGCAGGCGAGCACCAAGAACGCCAGGGAGATTCCACCTTTGGTTCCTCCGGTTGCTGGGCAGTGGCGCGGTGCAAAGAGATGAGCCTTTGTGAATCTTTGGACTCAGCAAGGCTTGTTGTGCCATTGCATGCACGAATGTCAGCACTGCCACAAGGTTCGACATAACAGCGCAGCTGCGAGTGTTATGACATCAGCTGTGCTGGTATGATGAAGTTCACAGCAGTACTGTAATTCATGTGTGCAGTGGCAGAACAAGCCTTGCAGAGTCCTGCTCCAAGAGGTGGCGGTGGTGGCGGGACATGTCAGGGCAGTGCTGGCCAGCTGCCGGCGCAAAGAACAGGAAGGCAATGGCGATGGGGCATCTAGTCCCACACTCACCGCCTCCTGCACCTCCAAAATAATAAGCCCCCCCCAAAAAATAAGGCCAAAAAAAATATAAGACAGGGCCTTATTTTGGGGAAAACATGGTAGAGTCCACAAGGTAAACATATCTAGAGCTCCAAATCCTCTTTTAAGAAAGATGAAAGTAGGAAAACTCTCAAGCAATGTGCTACTTCAGATGAAATATGATTCTATCCTAGTTCTCAAGTTGGAAACCATATATCCACAGGTTTTCTGGTTACTAATTCTCTTCCAACTCATTAATGTCCAGTCCTATGTTTAGTAATAGTTGTTATTTTATTTATTATATGCTTGTCTCCTTTAGTCTATAATTTTAGTTTTAATATTAAGAACTTATATAGAATTTAGTGCTAACACAATAGCAATAGCACTTAGACTTATATATTGCTTCACAGTGCTTTACAGCCTCTCTAAGTGGTTTACAGAGTCAGCATTTTACCAATCTTGGAAGGATGGAAGTCTGAGTCAACCTTGAGCCACTCAGGATCAAACTCTTGGAGAGAGCAGTGAGTTAGTCTGCAGTACTGCATTCTAACTGCTGCACCACCATTGCTCTTTTAATAGTTAGCAAACCTAACTTTTAGTTGTCTTTTATCACTTATAAATTTCAATGGAGCTATTGAAATAGATGTAATTTTCCCTGTTTGAATTTTATGTTTGTCTATAAAAGACACACTGTTAGGAAAATTAAAATGTGAAACCATTATTGGTCCTGGTAAAATTTTGACTTCTCCATTCCAGTTTTGTTGCCTTGTTTCTAGTATGTGATTGCTCCTGTTTTTCTGAAAAGTTTTAAACTGTTGAAGTTGAATTATGAAAATAAATGTTGCTTCTCACTGTATATTTAAATGATCATAGAAATTTTCTTTATTAAGCCTCTCAGTAGTAAATGTTTGACATTCCACCAGAGAACAGTTCATATAAGGTGAAATATTTGACCAGGATATATCTGTTATAACCTTAGTGAATTATTGCAACAAAGCTTAAATACCCCGATATTTTAAAAAACATTAGTGAATAATTTCAGAACTTTTAAGTTTGTCAAATTTTGTTTGCATATGGTAATTGATTAAATAGAAAGATGAAATTAGTATTAATTTTCTCAACTCTTCCAGCTACAAAAGTAAATTTAATTTATTACATTGTGAAGTGAGCATATATGGTATATTTGTCACAGTTTCAGGATACTGTATAAGGGAAGTATCTTGTTTAGTGGACATATAACCAAATAATCTTGTCACGTATATAAAAAAGTAGACAGAAAGTTTGAGCTTTTATATGAAAACATTACATTTCCATGCAATACAATGCCTTCAACTGAATGAACTGAAATTGTTTACTGTACTAAAGCACTTTGGAGCTTTGTAATATATTTTGAATACTAAAGGCAATATTATTTGCAGCCCTTTATGAGTTTGTGTTTGAGTATCTTTTATACTCTTGTCATTTTTTTAAAACAGAGTGGATTTTATCACGACCAGCGAAATTACAGCAGTCTTAGACATAGCAAAGTACTTCCTTCTTATCAGCCTCGGGTTTGTTTGTTATTTTTGTATGAATTATTTTGCTGAATAGGTTTTTTTCTTCAGTAAAGCATAACAGCATGAGAATTATAATAAAAGCTTTGCTTCATTTGAATGTCATTTGAATTAACAATTGGTCAAGGATCCAGTGAAGGGTTTTTTGATCCTGTATTAGTTGATGCAGCATGAATCAAGTTAGAATTAGAAGTAGAGCTAGGTTTAGGAATTTAGATTTCTTTTCACTTTTTGTCTTGCAACTTCCTAATTTAAATTTGCCATTATGTTAACAATAAACCTAACACATTTTAATATTATATGCAATTATTCTAAAAAGGGTTGTTCTAAAAGATAGGGCCAGTATAGACTTATAGATGGCGTTTTTTAAATTAAATATCTAATGGAATGTTTAACCTATTATTGCCAGCTTTGAACTGTGTATGCACTCTTTCTGTTCTATCGTTTGATGACAATACTCTCACACTGTTCCTTATCTGCATGTTTGATGAACAATGTGCATCATTTATACAGCAATTCAGTACAATTCAATGCCTTATTCTTTTCACAGTCATCATCTCTATACAATGAACCTCTGGCAACCACTAAGAATTACAGGGTTAGTAAAATGTAACATGATAGATAATGTTTAGGTATTGTAATATTTATGTATACTGAAATCTAAAAAAGTACTCTGTTCTATAGGCTTCTCCAGATGTAAACACTGGTTTGATAAGAAGTACCAGTTTGGTTCGTATGTAGATCTGCATGGTGACTTTAGCCTGCTTTCTGAGCATACTGTTCCCTGACAGCATTGTGTATCATTATTTTGTAAATATTTAGCTTAAGTTTGAAAAAAATATAAGAATGGAGAATATCAGGAAACTATCTTGAGAAGAAACAAAGTGTATGTAAACTGTGGGCTCTTAAATCTGTAGAGATTTTCTTAAACAAATACATAATAACTGCAGTGATTAACAACTTAGTCAAGAAATATAATTTAAATGGAAATAAAACTTTGAGACTCACTCAAAAACTCAAAAACAGAATTTTTGGGCTCAATTGTGATTATAAATTGAGGACTATCTGTAATCTGTCTGCATGCTGGTAATGCATATAAAAAGAAACTAAAAGTTTACTCTTTTTCTGTTTTTATAAAATCTGAGGTACTTATATCATTCCCTCTACCCAATCAATATGTCTGTTTACCTGTTTAAATTGCCCTTCCCCCTTTCCATTTCACTGTTCTCCAGCTAAATGAAATAAGACACATTACGTTGTTTAGCTGTTCGTCCACCTTATATCAGAAAATATTTAGAGCTTTACTCTGTACTTTTATATAACAACAAACACCATTTTCTCTGTTCTCTAGGCATCATTATATGATGATGGATTGTATAAATGTTACAGTAATCGTCCTGTAAGTCTATAGGAATTTCATTTTATATGTTTGGCATGTGTATGTCAAAATAAACAGCTAAAAAAGTATTTCACAATATTTGTTTTTTAGCCTTCAGAATATAGTTATTACTCTTCAAGAGCAAGTTCAGCCCGAAGTAGTCCAGTGGTGAGATATCTCTGCATGTCATAAAGACTTCTATTTTTATGGATAACTCTGATATTAAATAGATAAAGATTACCAATTTGCATTATTGATAATGTAAATGTAGAGTTGTTGGTTGTCATTCTGGGAATCTCCACTTTTTCAATTGTGTATTTTGAAAGAAGAATATTAATTATTCTTAGCAAGAAATGTAAACTATAGTTGAAAGAATATAATACTCTAAAATCAGTTTTAAAATTTTATATTTAAAAATATGGACATTTTGCATGTTTATCTTATTGTATTTGTTCTGTAGCTAATGGTAAGCAGAGAGAGTACTTAAGGTTTTCAGTTAAAGCAGGGGTCACCAACCTTTCAGACCTCAGTGACCACTAAATTCATAATTTAAATCCTGCGGACGACTAATATGATCTGCCTAATGACCAGCTGGGTGGGCGTGGCTAAGTGGTCATGTGACTGGGTGGGCATAGCCAACTCCTCACGTCCCCACCCGGGCTCCTTAGTGCCTCAACAGGAAGCAATTGTTGGAGCTAAGCAGCCACCATGTGAAAGAGTTGGCAAAACAGCTCAGTTCAGATTGCATCTGACTGAGAAGGCAGCTCAGCAGAAGCACCTCATTGAGAACTACGAGCATAGGCTTTCCAAGCAGAGGGAAGACCTGTGGGAGTGCAAGGCCAGGTACCGGCGCCTGGAAGCTCAGCGGGTTGAGATGGTCAGCGAGTTCCAGGCCATGAGGCAGTCCCACTGGAACAAGGTCCTCCGGCTCTTCACCACCAGTGGCACTTCCCTCCAGCCTTTGCCAAAGCCCCGCATCAGGAGGCTGAAGCAGACCCCAAGTCTGTCCCCCTCCAACCCATACAAAAAGACCCCGAAGGGGGAGACTCTCTGCAGCAACACAAACATTCATTGCACATATCTGTCCCAGGGGCTGTAGTTTGAGGATCCCTGATTTAGTGCAATATAAAAAATGCAAATAATTTTTCTGTGGACCACCAAAATTTTCTCACGGACCACCAGTGGTCCATGGACCACCAGTTGGTGACCACTGAGTTAAAGCTTCCTTTCATATTCACCTTCTAATTTTATATGCCTATCGTATCAGGAACTGAGGTAATACAACTTCCAAGAGTACTCCATTTGATAAAAGCTCAGTTTTACTATTGCAAATTAACACTATGGATATAATTTGATCCTATGATAACAGATAGCTTTCTTTACCCAGGGTCAGAATGGGTAAACTTTGATGATCAAGGATTACATTTCATGTTTTCAGAGGGAGGAAAGTTGTGAACAATGTTGCCAAGATTGCATGTATTTGTTTAGGATGTGGAGTCTGCAAAAATAGATTCAGGGATCCAAAATTGTCCATCTCTCCATATAATATAATAGAGACCTATTTTTTTTTCTTTTCCTTCAGTTGGATGCAGGCTTTACGCTACTAGGTATTAGGAATGAAAGAGCTGAGAGGTTTTGTATTCTACCTAGCCAGGCAAAGTTGAAATATATACCAAATGGGTCTAGAACTTTTAGTCTCTGACTTTTCATTCTCCTCGGGCGTTTCTCCTCAGGCAATTCTCCCCCGACTTATCTCCTCAGCTGGCACGCCTCAAGTCATTTGCCTTGGGGAATGGGCCACCAGCATCTTTGCCCCAGACCCTTCGACACAGCCCATTCGCAGACCTAGGTGTTCCGCCCTCTGTGACAGTTAGCCCCCAACCAATTGGCTAGAGGGGGTGTAATAGAAATCCAGCGAAAGGAGAGAAGTGTAAAAGAATTTGCCAAAATGCCTGCCTTCCTTCCTTCCTCTCTCCCCCCCCTCCAAATACAGGGAGGAACAGTTGGTTTACTCGGAAGTAAGTCTCACTAAATTCAATGCTAGGATTTAAATCCAGTGAAAGGAGAGAGGTGTAAAAGAATTTGCCAAAATGCCTTCCTTCCTTCCTTCTTCCCTCTCTTCTCTCCCCCCCCTCCCCCACAACCAGTACAGGGACACTGTTACTGAGTGAGCTAAAAGCCTTCTTCCCTCCTTCCTTCCTTCCTTCCTTCCTTCCTTCCTTCCTTCCTTCCTTCCTTCCTTCCTTCCTTCCTTCCTTCCTTCCTTCCCCCACCCACCATAACAGCATAACATGGCAACTAGCCATGTTTGAGGCTCCTCTAGAGGGGTGGAGCTTAGCAAAGTGTGTGTGTATGTGTGTGTGTGAAAAAGGAAAGGAAGGCAGGTGCAGAGATAAAAGGCCATTTCACTCTATCACACTCCAGAGAGCAGTTGGTTCCTTTTCTGAACTGGAGACCAGGCTATTGGGGGCAGGGGGGGAAATAAAATTAAAGAAAGAAAGATGGATATTGTTTTGGGGAACTCCACCCTCTAGAGGAACCTCAAACGTGGCTAGTTGCCATGTTAGGGTGGGTGGGTGGAAGAAGGAAGGAAGGAAGGAAGGAAAATTCTCTTCTATTGGACCCTTCCAGATTTGGTTAACTAATTGGTTGAAGGAAGGGAGATAGGGAGGGAGGAAGGCTTTCAGTCCGCTTAGTAACAGTGTCCCTGTATTGGTTGGTGGTGGGGGAGAGAGGGAGAAAGGAAGGAAGTCAGGCATTTTGGCAAATTCTTTACACCTCTCTCCTTTAGCTGGATTTCTATTACACCCCCTCTAGCCAATTGGTTGGGGGCTAACTGTCATAGAGGGCGGAACACCCAGGACGAACCGTCTTTCTGTGAATGGGCCGTGCCGAAGGTTCTGGGATGAAGAGGCCGGTGTCCCATTCCCCAGGGCAAATGACTGGAGGCATGCCAGCTGAGGAGATAAATTGGGGGAGAATTGCCCGAGGAAAAAAGCCCGAGGAAAATGAAAAGTCAGAGACTAAAAGTCCCATTCCGTACCAAATCGATTGTTGATTATTTGCAATGTCACATAGAGTTGCCAAGTTAGAAAAAATAGCTTGAATATAACTAAGGAACAAATTTGAAAATGGGACTATGTAGACAGTTTAATGAGTTTAATTAAGCCAACTATATCTTCAAATTAGACAATTATTTTGCATAAATACTAGTTTGAAACATTGTTAAGTCAGTGAAGTTACAGGTTATCTTGACTCTGTGAAATCTACCTCTCTCACACCAGAATCCAGCATAACAAAGGTACTTCTTCACCATATTGCATTGGTTTATTTATTATCCAGTTAAGTCCTTAATATTGTAGAAAGTTCTTAATATTGATTTAGATAAATATGCATTGTATATAATAATAACCTAGTTAATTATTTATTTCCAACTCTTGTAGTTTACAGATGATGAATCAAGCAACATTGCATCCTCTGACCATTCTGTACAAAGTCGCAGGGATAGTGTGGTGAGCAATGTTGCATGATTGATATAGATCTGCTGTGTTCTAATTTCATCAATTCATAACCTGTGAAATTTTTACAGATCCTAATCTTGATATGTATAATAAATATTCCTATTTATATTAGATATACTCATTAAAAGTATTTCAGTTTATCACCTCTCAAAGTAGAATTGCACTATTTTAAAAATACTCTTATTTCTTACCCTTAACATGTTTATTAAATTATCTTCCAGTTTATGTCCTAACTTAATGTAGACGATGTAATTATTTTGTGTGTAAAATGAGAACAATTAATTGCACATATATAATAAATGTATGTGCATAAATATATTAATATATAGTCTTTGCATCTGAAAGGATAGAACAGGTCCTTTTCCATTAAAGGAAATGGATTCTTGGTTCCTTTAGAATTAACAATTATACTGTTATAACTATAGTATTTTCAAATACTAAAAAAATCTTCCTTCTCATATTAAAGTATAAGAAATCGTATCCAAATTCATTTATATAGATTATGCATTAATCTAAACAACAATGTTCATAATATTTAATTTGCAATACAATTTAGATTTATTATCCAATAAACTAATAAATTTAAAATAGACCTTAGAAGGAAGCTGCTTAAAAACCCTCAGTGTTAGATAAACTCACTGTAGTCCAATTCCAAATCTAATAATGATTACAAAGATATTCTACACCTTACTAAATTGACTACCGTATTTTTCGGAGGTTAAGACGCACCGGAGTATAAGACGCACCTAAATTTTTTGGTGTTTTTTTTTAAAAAAATATTTTTTTTATTTTTTAGACAAACACACATACAAACATACAATATATTTTCTTTGAACAGAGTATTTGGCTGGTTCACAAATTTAAAGTGTTTAGTGATTTCAATTAAATTTACAATTTCTATATTTCCTTTTTGCCATATTCCTCATCTATTTTTTAAAAAAACCAATATTACCCTTCATCCTCATCTCTAGTCTTAATCAAATTCAATTTTTTCCCTTCTATATTATACCCCTTCCCATTGTCATCTATTTTTATATCCATCCTCACATTGATTATGTAATTATCATAATTAATGTGGGTTAATTATGTAATATTACAATTGTTTAATATAAATTCAACATTTTAATATAAATAAATTACTTATATAATTATCTTTTTTTGTATGAACTTGAATATTCCAATTATTTCCATGCAATCCAATTTCTTACAAATCAATTAATTATATTTACCAATAATAATAAACCAAATAATTTCCCCCTCTTATGTTACTCGTTTTCACATCTTAAACTCTCCCAATAACCCACACAGTTTTGCCCATATAATCCTCCAAATCACAATTTAATCATTTCTACTTTCATCGAAATATATAATTAAAAATATTTCAATCATTACAATTTTCCTAATTAAATTTAAAAATATTCTAGCTGTTATCCAAGCTATAATTTAATCCTTTTTACTTTCACCACCATATACCATTAAAGGTATTTCAATTGTTACAGTTTATATTTATTCATATTTCTAAAAAAATAAAAATAAAAAAACTTATCATTGTCTAGATTTCAAAAATACAAAGACAAATATTCCAATTATTATTCATTTCATTTTTACAATCATGATTTCCCATTTATTTCTTATTACTATTCATATTTCAATTCTAAATATGTATAACTTTTTTCTCTTTCATTTCTTTTTCTTTTTCTCCCTTCCCATTTTTATTTTTGCCTTTTTCTTTCTCCTTTTTTTCTTTTGTGTTTTAAAATCTTGAACTCTCCTCTTTTGCCCTACCTTTTTTGTTTGCACCTACCTTTTTTGGTGAGGAAAAAGAAGAAAAAGAAATCTCCCTCTGCCTAATTTTGCCTCCTTGCAGCAAACAGCCTGCTTTACTTTCAGTTTCGCTTTCAGCATAGCTTGATTAGCACAAGGGGAAAAAAATCTGCTCTAGCACTCTTTGCAGCAAGCAGCAGAGCCCTGCGCAAAACAGCTGAGAGCAAATCATCTGAGAGTCGGGAGGCCAATCTAATCAACTTGTGCTAATTAGCCTATGCTGAAGCTGAAAGGAGCTGTTTTTTCTTGCTGTTTGCTTGCAAGAAGGTACAGGCCAAAGGATAGGGGCCGGCAGGTGGGTGGGGCTACATTCGGTGTATAAGACGTACCCAGATTTTCACCCCCTTTTTGGGGGTAAAAAGGTGCGTCTTAATACTCCGAAAAATATGGTATTTATTTTAAAAAAAGTCTCTCCATTTATTTCACTTTCAAGTAGTTTTTATTTTATTTTTATTTATTTTATTTTATTTCGAATTTATATACCGCACCTTCTCCCAAGGGACTCAGGGCGGTGTACAGCCAGATAAAAACATACAATACAAACATTAAAAACAATTAAAAGAATATATATTAATTTGGCCCCAGTTTAAAATGACAAACCAATTAAAAATTAAGAATTTAAAAATATGTTAAGCCAGCCCGGCTTGTTGAAAAAAGAAAGTTTTAAGGGCACGGTGGAAGGCACCGAGGTCTTGGATTCTCCTTATCTCTGGGGGCAGCTGGTTCCATAGGGTAGGTGCCCCCACAGAGAAGGCCCTCCCCCTGGGGGTTACCAGCCTACATTGTTTGGCTGATGGCACCCCGAGGAGGCCCTCTCTGTGGGAGCGCACCGGTCGATGGGAGGTTGTCGGAAGCAGCAGGCGGTCTCGAAGATAACTAGGTCCTATGCCATGGAGCGCTTTAAAGGTGGTAACCAACACCTTGAAGCGCACCCGGAAGACCACTGGGAGCCAGTGCATAAATTTCTCAAGGTTTTTTTTTAAGATTGTGAAATGTAAAGGAAACTACATTTTTATTAATGAATAACTTATTTTTAATTATTAATTACTAGATAATGTCAACACCTTTTATACCTATGTGTCAGGCTAAGCCCAAGAACAGCAATAGCAGTAGCAATTCAGTTCTTAATTTGCTTATACATAACATGAAACTTGCCAGGCTAAACGCTTATGATTCTCTGCTTAATGGATATACCTTGAGAGATTCTAGGGAGTGTGTGTCCTTAGGCTCTTCCTCTGGGTCCATTCCCAGGCTGTGCTGTCTCATCTCTCCATCCGTCCCTTCTCAAATACACTCTTTCCATGGAAACTGCCACTTCACTGTGGTCTATCAAACCAGTTCCCCCTCTGGGGCATCCTCTCTTATACCATGATCCAATATAATGCAAACTTATATTCATTTAAGAGTTCTGCTTTGTACACATGTAAGGTGCTTCTTGTTTATATAAAACAAGAATTTTGTATTTTCCATAAGTAACATGTCTGCTCTTTTGTATTAGAATCCAACTTTAATCTGGAACAGTTAAAATAACAGTAGATTGTCTTAATGTTTTAATTGGGAATCAAACCTTCATTTATTCTCCTAATGACTGAATCTGTAAGTCAACTTCCAATCCTAGATTGTTCAGAGTCCAAATTTGGACATAATAGTAAGCATTTTTTCCTAATGTTGTGAAATAAGATACAGTTAGTGAGAGGGACTTGGAAGAATAAGAATATTAAATTTTTAGAATACTCTAGACATGTAATTTATTTCAATTTAATTAGCCTTGCCTTGCCTTAATAACAACAAATGCATATGTTTTTCAGCTTTAATTTTAAAAATAGATCTGAATTTTGAGTTATTTCCACAGTGAAGGAAGTATTTTAAAGATCAATAGAGAAGAGGGCAATTCATATACTGGCCCTATATACGAAGAAAAGAAAATTATATAATAGTTATATACAGGAGTATGTGTAGAGATTTGATGATAAAGAAATGATAAAACCAACTAATATTTAGGAAGGTGGATGTTTTGGATGTTTTAACCAGTTTTTTAAAACAAAATCAGGTTAGAAATATATAATACCATTATTACTTTATGTATTAAAACTGTGTAAATCTGATTGATTCAAAAAACACTACCAGATTCTGCAATTTTTGTCAAACTTATTTGAAAACCCATACATTTGTTGTGAAACTGTTATTAGTAGCTTTAACGTTTTCAATCAAAATTAAGAGAGTCTTAATTATTCAAAGGAAAATCTCAAAACAGTTTTGATCAAGGATAAGAATCACATGAACAAATTATTATTTTTTTGTTTCTGAATTTTTTTTCCTATCATTTTCTCGCCATCTGTTTTTGTTTGTTATTTGTTTTCGTTACTGGAAGTCAAGTGATTTTCATCATCATGGGGAAACTGCAGCTGATTATTTTAGCCGCACTAATCGTAGGGGAAGCATTGTTTCTGACTTGGGTGATGTCAGCATTCCAGACATGAACAATGTGAGTGTCTTTAACATAAAGTTGATGCCACTGCTGCAAAAATTTTTTTGTAAATGTTCATATTTTTTATTGTTCATATTTTTTATTGTTTATTAGTTTTAATAATGGCAATAATGTTACTTTATTATCTTGCATACACTTTTATATGTTTAAGTTCACTATTATGATTGGAGTCTTGTATTTTCTATGATTTTAAAAATTTTATTTGGGGATTAGGTAAAGGGCATGTAGTCTAATAATAATATTTATTTGTATTTGAGTAAAATATGCATATGGCTCTCTGACATTTACATTAAAATGTATTGAGGGTATGCCATTTTAATACATTTGATTACATCTCAGTAAATATTTTTATATTTAGATAAAGTTCTTGAGTTTTTCAAAAAATATAAGATAAATTTATGTATTTTCATATTCTGCCATTGATGGCTAAAATAAAGTTTTGTGGTATTTATTACCTGCTGTATTCATAGTTTGATGAAATGAATGAATGAGATGAAATGGTTTTTACTTCCCTTACTAACTTATACCAACTTCCTGCTACCAATAAAAAACTTTTTTAAAAAAATTTCAGACAACTAAAAGTAATTAAATTATTAATCCGATGTCTGCAAACTTGAATTTCTACTTGGCAAACATTATTATATTTGATGACACAGATTATTTTCTGAAGGAAGTGCTGTTGGGAGAGAGGTTAAATTATATTACAATAAACTTTGAATAAAAACGGATCTTGAGAAAAATGGATGTGGAAAGAAATGAAATGAAAGTGAATGTAGAATCACTGCAAGAATAGAAAGTATGAGACTTGCATCAAAAAATACCATAAGTCAGATTACTCTTCCAATTTAATGAATAAAAAGAGGATACAGTGGAAGTTGTATGGAACAGAGTAAAAACAATTACATCATGCACAGAAGCATGTGAAATTATATTAATGTGAAGCAGTGGTGAAATCTAAATTTTTTTACTACCGGTTCTGTGGGCGTGGCTTGGTGGGGGGGTAATGTGACTGGGTGGGCGTGGCCAATTTTTTTTTTACTTTTAAAACCATTTTTTACATGTAAAACCATGTAAGAAAATGCTTTCAAAAGGCTCTGACGATCCCAGCTGAGTTGCCTGATTATCAGAGGGTTTTTAAAAAACCCTCTGCCGATCAGGCAACTCAGCTGGAATTGTCAGAGCTTGGATCGTCAGAGCCATTTAAAAGAAAAAACATTTTTTCTTTTAAATAGCTCTGACGATCCAAGCTGAGTTGACTGATTAACAGGCAACTCAGCTGGAATCGTCAAAGCTTGGATCGTCAGAGGCATTTAAAAGAAAACAAGCCTCTGATGATCGCGTGGCTCAGCTGGGCATGGGGGGCAGGGCAGGGATTTTTGCTACCGGTTCTCCGAACTACCCACCGCCATCGCTACCTACTCGCCCGAGCCGGTCCGAACCGGGAGCATTTCACCCCTGATGTGAAGTATGAAAAGGTCTGCTTATATATCTTCATATTCCAAAGAATGAGGAAGTGATAGTTTGTTTGTTTGTTTGTTTGTTTGTTTGTTTGTTTGTTTATTTATTTATTTATTTATTTATTTATTTATTTATTTATTTATTGAATTTCTATACCGCCCTTCTCCCGAAGGACTCAGGGCGGTGAACAGATTAAGATTTCATATACATATAATAATTTTTTTTTATATATAAACGGTAAATAATAAATTGAGTCAACTTGGTGTATCTGCTAAGACCTTGGCATAGAATTTAGATGTTTATGCTAGCCCTGCTTGTTGAAACAGAAAGGTCTTCAGGGCACATCGGAAAGTGCGAAGATCTGGGATTATTCGTATTCCAGGGGGTATTTTGTTCCAAAGAGTAGGTGCCCCCACAGAGAAGGCTCTCTCCCTTGGAACTACTAATGATGGTTTAGTTTTAATGATGGTACTATGAATAGGCCTACTCTGTGAGAGCATATTGGTTGGTGGGAGGTTATCGGTTGCAGCAGGTGGTCTCGTAAGTACTCAGGTCCTAAGACATGGAGCACTTTAAAGGTAAGAACCAATACCTTGAAGCGCACTTGGAAGGCCATCGGAAGCCAGTGCAGCTCACGTAGAAGAGGTGTTACATGTGAGCACCATGTTGCTCCCATAATTACTCGCGTGGCCGCATTCTGGACCAGTTGGTGCTTCCGGTGCACTTCAAGGGGAGCCCCATGTAGAGAGCATTGCAGTAGTCGGGAAATGACGAGGGCTTGAGTGACTGTGCGTAATGAGTCCCGGTCTAGAAAGGGACGCAATTGGCGAATCAGGCGAACCTGATAGAAAGCTCCTGTGGCCACGGCTGTTATATGATCTTCTAAAGACAGTCGTGCATCCAGGAGGATGCCTAAATTGCGAGCTTTCTCTGTGGGGGGTCAATGACTCATCCCCAATAGTTGGTGATGGGACTAACTGGCTGTACCGGGACGCCGGCAGCCACAGCCACTCAGCCTTGGAAGGGTTGAGTCGAAGCCTGTTTCTCCCCATCCAGACCCGTACCACCTCAAGGCACCAGGACATCACTTCAAGGGCATCATTGGGGTGGTTTGTGGTGGAGATATACAGCTGAGTGTCATCAGCATACAGATGACATCGTACCCCAAAACCACAGATGATCTCACCCAACGGCTTCACATAAATGTTGAACAGGAGAGGTGAGAGGACCGACCCCTGTGGCACCCCGCAAGTAAGGGGCCTTGAGGTCGATCTCTGTCCACCTGTCAACACTGACTGCGACCTGTCAGGAGGTAGGATGAGAACCACCGTAATACGGTGCCTCCCACTCCCAGCCCCTCCAACCGGTGCAGCATGATACCATGATCAATGGTATCAAAAGCCGCTGAGAGATCTAATAGGACCAGGATAGAGGAACATTCCCTATCCCGAGCCCTCCAGAGATCATCAACCAATGCGACCAATGCTGTTTCTGTGTTGTATCCAGGCCTGAAGCCGGACTGGAACAAGTCTAGATAGACAGCTTCATCCAGGTACTGTGGGAGCTGTCGTGCCACCACACTTTTGACAACCTTCGCTAAAAAGTGAAGGTTGGAGACTGGACAGTAGTTTGCTAAAACAGCCGGATCCAGAGAGGGCTTCTTAAGGAGGGGTCTCACCACCGCCTCTTTCAAGGTGGGAGGTAAGAATCCCTCGCTCAGAGAACCTTTAATAATTCTCTGGAGCCAGCTACGTGTAACTTCCTGGGTAGCCAGAACTAGCCAGGAAGGGCACGGGTCCAATAAACATGTCGCATTCAGTTTCCCCAGTAACCTGTCCACGTCCTCAGGAGTCACAGTATCAAACTCATCCCAGATAATGTCCTCAAGATCTGCCCTCGTCATTTCATCCGAATTAATCCAGTTAGAATCCAAGCCTTCCCGAATCTGAGCAATTTTATTGTGCAGATATTGTGCAAAATCCTCAGCTCGTCCTTGCAGAGGGTCTTCCCGGGCTCTCAGCTGGAGTAGAGAGCGGGTAACCCTAAACAAGGCGGCTGGGCGATTATCTGCCGATGCAATAAGAGTGGAAAAATAGTTACATTTTGCCGCTTTTATCGCCACTAAGTAGGTCTTAATATAAGATCTCACTAGTGTTCGGTCGGATTCGGAACGGCTGGTCCTCCAACTGCTCTCTAGGCGTCTTTTCCGGCGTTTCATCCCCCTCAGCTAGTGATAGTGATTAAAAATATGCATAAAGGAATGGCTGCAATTATAGATGATAAATAGATTGTAAAAAGATTGGGCATTATGGGTATATAAATAAATAAAATAAAATAAAATATTTTTATATATAAATAAAAAGAGTTGTAAGGAATGTAATAAAAACAAGAGTTGAGATGAGAAATGGAACAATTTTGATGAAAATTTTAAAATTATATCAATAGAATATTTGTAGCTCAGGGTTGAACTATGGAGACCATTTTTTTTTTTTTTTGTGGGACTCTGGTGTTATCTATGATTAGTTGTTTTCTTCCAGATATTTCATTACCCAATTAGGTGGCATCATTAGAGCCAGCAGGTAGCAGAAAATATCTGGAAGAAAACAACCAATCTCAGAGAGCACCAGGATCCCACCTCCCAAAAAGTTTTTAAAAAAGGAAATAAAGGGCCTAAGAAGAACCCTTCTATAAAGTGGATGGATTTAAAAGTAAGAGTACTTTAGAGATTCGTATTGCAATTAGAATGATGAGTTAAAGAATGGGGTTGCAAAAAAGAAGTAGTTACTTTCAGTCTTGTAGTTACTACAAGAAATTTGAAAGTTGTAAGGTTTCAAGTGTGGATGGTGTACCTAGAGAAATAATTGGAGTGATCTTGCAAATTATTTAACATACATTTGTACAAATGTATCTGACACTTGGAAGAATGCCATTGTTTTTCTATTGCACATAGGGAAGAATAGCGGGATTAAATGTAAAAGCTATTGGGTTAATTTGTTAAGCATATCAAGATAATTAATATAATTGTGGCAGGAAATAATATAAGAGATATTGATTTCAGAAATGCCATGTTAATGATGGGCAACAGATATGCAAATTAGAATTTTGCTTTTCAACAGGTGTTGTGAATAGGCACTCTCTAGCCACTCCCCAAACTGCTGGCATGTTTCTTCTTTGCATTGGGTAGACCAGGCCGATGCCATGCTGGCCCGATGTTTCCTGTTCGCATTGGGTAGACTGGGCCAAAGCCATGCTAGCCTGATGTTTCCTCTTTGGATTGGGTAGACCAGACCAAAGTGACGCGGGCTGGCCCCTTATATTTTCCAGGATGGCTCCGCAGGCCAGATCTGACCACATTGTGGGCTGGATCCAGCCCATGGGCCTTGTGTTTCACACCCCTTGAGTAAACCATCTTCCCAACAGAGCTGAAGAAGCTTCTTTAATGAGGAGTGAAACGTCTTCAAGGAAAAAAGCAAAGTCCAGTTACTTTTTGGAAAAGCACTTTTGGGACAATCATGACCTCAGTGACTGAGAATCTCCAT